TATATAATAAATTATATATAACTAAATTATATACATATATATAATTAGTGATCTTGTCCTGCTATGTAGGGGATTTTACTTTAAATTTATATTTATTGATTTTTTTATCTTTTATTTTGTAGAGAGTTAAGTAACTTTTGATAAAATTTTCACGGATTCTTGAAGGAAAGATGGGTTCCAACTTTCTTTTTGGTAAAAATGACAAGTTCCATTATTTTGTATAAATTTTGTTGATTTATTAATTTGAAATTTACAAAAATAATACAATGAGATTAATTGTAAATTTAAATTAAAAATTTAATAAGGTAAAATTTGAATTTCAAATAAATTACCTATTCTAAATGAGTTTTCATTATATAATATTTAAATTAGATTTAAATAATGTTTTTCAATTTTGTTTATCTTATTAAATAAAGCAATAATTTTAATTTGAATTTATCTAATTTTCAGTTTTTAGCTAACAATGATAGTAAATAGATAATGACCATTCTAATTTAAAGAAAAAAAATATTGAAATCTCTAAATAAGATCACAATTTCGAATCAAATTTAAAAAAGAAAAGATTAAAATTAGTTGATAAATAGAAAAGTTACTTAGACACTAATAAAATTTTAGTTATTTTTTATTTTTGGGCATTAATGCATTTTGGGTTTTAATGACAAAAAAATATAATAAAGTATATATACGTTTTATTGATCTATTAATTTGAAATTTAGAAAGATAATACAATAAAATTAATTATGAATTTAAATTAAAAATTTGATAAAGTAATTAAAGTTTGAATTTAAAATAAATAATCTAATCTAAAAGAGTTTTTCCTATATAAGTTTTAAATTAGATTTAAGTGAGATTTTTTAATTTTATTTATATTGTAGATAAAGTAATAATTTTAATTTGCATTTATCTAACTTTCAATTTTTGGCGAACAATAAAAAGTAAATGGATAATTACCATTCTAATTTAAAGAAGAAAACACTAAAATCTTCCAATGAAATCAAAATTTAAAAAGAAAAAAATTAAAATCAACTAATAAATGGAAGAGTTGTCTAAATACTAATAAATTTTAATTATATTTTAATTTTTAAACCTTAATGCATTTTGGGTTTTAATGGTAGCAAAATTTAATAAGTAGTATTGATATATGCAATTCAAATGAGATAACAAGAAGCTGAAAGCGGGTTTACGCTGTCTGGCTCAAATTTAGCATAACCTAATGTAAAATAGCCTAATGGTTATTGAACTAAACTAACTAAAAGAAAAATTAAATTAACTTTAAGTAATACTAAGAATTTAAAACTCTAACCAAAAATATATATTTAGCTTCTGAACTTAATAAGTTTGAAGTTTTTATCCCTTCACTTTACACTATAAAGTTTTTAGTTCAAAAACTTAAATGTTTAAA